TTTATACAACATGAGAGCAATGCTCGGGTGCGAGCCATAGCGGACCTTCGTCACACATATATTTATTGCTTTTTCGCATATATCGATCAATTTGGTTATGTGGTTCCTCCATAATAGTTTGCGGTAGAATGTACACCAAGTAACTTAAATTAGTCCGTTCTTTTGATCTTATGAGGCCCCAGTTCGATGTATTCACTGGAAACGATCCGTCTCTTCCTTGTAAAGATAGTCACTGCACTCTTAGACTCCGATATATGGAAGCCGCTGTTTCGATTCCATTCGTCGAGGACATTCATTGCATCAGACAATTCAGACAGTGCTAGGTCTAAATTTTGGTTAAAGCAGTAAACAGTTATATCATCAGCAAAAAGAAGTGTTTTGATGCTGGGTGAAAACGCTGAATCAATCGACGAGACATAAATTGAAAAGAGAACTGGGCTCAAAACTGCTCCTTGAGGTAAGCCAGTATATACCGTCCGTGGGCCTACACTTTTGTCGCCGCATCGGACTAATATTTTTCTGTTACACAGTAGGTCAGTAACGGCTGTAACTATTCGCGCCAGTATCTTGATATCTTTCATACGACTGGTTAAAAGATTGATGTTGACACAGTTGAAAGCATTATTTAGATCTAGAAACGCAGACACTAAACATTTGTTTTGCGAGAAGCTTTCATAAATATCTGACGTAAAGGAAGTAAGCACATCAAAAGTGTTATGCCCTTTTTTAAAACCTTGTTGGTTTACTGGAAGTTTCATATTTTTTTCTAACCACCATTCGATGCGTGCCTTAATCATTCGCTCGTAAGTCTTGATAAATACTGAAGAGAGGGCAATTGGACGATAAGATTCTTCTTTTTCAGGAGGTTTACCTGGTTTTAGGATGGGTCTGATAATTTGAGTGGACCATTGAGGAACATAGACGTCATTTATCCAAGCAGAATTATTAAATATATTGAGGAGATATGTTTTGGCTAGCTGTGGAAGTTCCTTCAACATCACATATTGTATACCATCCTGACCAGGGGCTACATTTTTAGTATTTTTAATGGCGAGGTCTAGTTCAGTTGGAGTAAAAGGAAGATCCATCTCAGAGAGTTCATCAGAATAGGCCGGAGGAATAAGTTGAGGAGCCATAGGAGGAGCTAGAGAGTTGGTGAAGTCCTCAATCCAGTCTATATTATTGGTTGGATAAGAGCTGCGGGTAATACCGGTGGACAGTCGTTACACTCTCTTCCATACCATTGATAAAGGAGTTTCTCTGTTCAGCGAGTCACAGAAGCTACGCCAGCTATCAACTTTTTTTTGTTTAAACAATCTGGAGCACTTTGCTGCTGCTTTTTTGGCCTCAAGGAAGTTAGTCATATTGGGATGTGATTTATATAAAGAATATTTCCGTTTACTTTCATCCCAGGCGGATTTGCACTCAACATCCCGCCAGAATTTGGGAGCACGTGGCTTGTTTGAAGGACGATAATTTAGTCTCAAACGTCGATAAGGAATCGTTTTAGCAGCTGCCTTTTGGATTATTTGCAAAAAATTGTCAAAGCCTCCTGGCGGGTTTTCTGAGCAAGTGCACTGATTGTATCTCTGTATATAGGCCAATTAGATTTTTTTGTAATCCAGCCCTCCCAAGAGGTCGCAATACGCCCCTCGACAGCAGAGCCTACTTTATAATCTATGAGAATAGCTAAATGATCTGATCCTAATATGTGGTCCAACACTTTCCATGAACAATGGGGAGTTAGAGAAGCGGATGTTAAGGTAATATCTGGTGCTGAGGGGTTTCGGTCTGGTCTAGAGACAAGGGTAGGAGTACCATCATTGAGGAAGCAGAGGTGATGCGTGTCTATGGACTCCATGAGGTGTCTACCTGGGCGGTCAGTATACGCAGAACCAAAAGCTGTATGGTGGATATTGAGGTCGCCTCCGAGAAAAAATGGAGAGGGAATTAAATTAAGTAAGGAGGACCAATCAAAAGAAGATAAATTGAGAGCTGGTTTAACATATAATGACACAAAAGATACAGGGATATTGTTAATATTAAGAGATATTGCACATATTTGGACATTACAACCAAAATTGTGTGAAATATTTATTATTCTGTAATTATAAGACTGTTTTATTAAAATGGCACATCCCCCGTAGCCATCTTGGCGGCCATCATGGATAAAATCATAGCCACTAAATGTAAAATTATGGTTGTTGGTAATCCAAGTCTCGAATAACAAGGCTATGTCAATATTGTGGGATGACACTAAAACTTCTAAGTTAGGTTTATTAGCTCGAACTGATCTCGTATTCCATTGTAAAATATGGAATGTGTTGCATGTTGTCATTAATGAAAAAATAAAATAGGATGAATTATTGAAATATGCATAGAAGTTTTAACATTAGCTTTCGGCAACTTCTTTATGACAGTATCCCAGGTTTGACACGTAAATTTATTCCTGAGGTTATTGTAAACAGAGAAGATAGATAAGGGTTGAGAATTTCGAACTTGAGTTTGGATTCTGGTAATCATGAAATCTTCTAAGGGACAGGTGACGTCTATCTTGGTAAAGATTAAATTATTTTTAATCAGGATTGCAACACCTCCATATCCGTCCTTCCCATCCAGTCTAAGAAAATGAAAATTTGGAAAATGAATTTTTTGTTGTGGGCGAAGCCACGTTTCAGAAAGAAGTACTATATTGATTGAGTAATTATTAATGACATGTTCTAAAAGTCCTTTTTTGGAATTTGTGAGCAAGAATTCCATTGTAAAATACGTAAGTTTAGGTGTGGTATTAAACTCATTTTAGGTTAGGTTTATTTATAATTTTTATTTTGAGGATTAAGTTGTTGCAGTTCGTATATAATGGTTTGATAAGCATTTGAGATAGTTTGAATTATATCTTCTTGGTCTATATAAGTTTCATGGTTTAAGTCTGATAGTGTGTTTTTAAGCATGTTTATGCTGTATGAGAATTTTTCTTTGATTAAGGGATTAAGTTGAGGGTTGGCTTGAAGGCCAAAATCAGGAGCTGCCTAAGATTGGGTGGCGGTTTTTCTCAGTGTTTGAGAATTTGTAGACTCTTTGTTATAAGTGAGGAGAGATGGGTCTTTTCTGCCAGGTTCTGGTTGTCCTACACGATCGTATGGTTTTTTTTTTATAAGATGTCAAGCGGAGTGTCCGGGATTTTGTGTTGTTTTGTTTAGTACTTGTTAAATGGGTTTCTATGTCAGGAAATTCCTCTATGTTTTCTAGAAGATTAAATCTATTTGAGGTGATAGTTGAATAAAGAGTACTAGCATTAGCTTTTTTCAGTTTTTGTTCTGTAATCCTGGAATATTCAGGGCAGGTTCTATCGCTAGATTTATGCCTGCCTGAACAGTTAGCACATTTCGTTTCTCCTTCACAATTATTGGTGTGATCATGTTGGAGTCCACAATTCTCGCACCGACTTTTGCTTTTGCACTGATCTTGCAAATCATTAAAACGGAAACAGTTGCGGTACTGCCTAATTGGAGGAACGTAGGGATCTACCCGGCATCTCATTCCATAGATAGATACATTTTTCGGGAGTTTTTGAGCGTCAAACGTAAGAAAACATGTACCTAACTTGGATACTTTTATTGTGGAGTCCACAGAGATTGTTTTTGTAATACGTCTAACATTTTTAATTTTGATTGGAGATTGGATTACTGACAGAATTCCTTGATCTTCAAGATCTATATCGACATTTCGGATCACTCCCATCTTATTTATAAAAAATGAGGGGATATAAGCATAAAGATTGTGTTGGTTTAAGCAGGAGGCATCTACAAAATAATTAGCTGTTATCTTAGTTTTGAATTCAATTTTAATCCTATTTCGTCCTGTAGCGATCATATTTATTATTTCGTTGTTATGTTTAAATCCTGATGAAAAAATAATTTTTCCCAATTTCATGGGATGAATTTTTCCAGCATTGCGGTCGGGACTCTCCACAAAACAACAAACGGGCCAACATCATCTGTCTTATATCTGTTTGAGGCTAACGATAGCAAAAAGGATTTTTTGTCTAGTTTATTTCCGTCAATTTTTATTCGTTTATCATTGGGTGTAACTACAGTGACTTTATTAAATCCTGTAACAGGTGACGCGGGTCTTTTTAGTGAAATTCTTTGTTTTTGATTGTTATTGTTAATAGAATAACCAGTACAATTTTGATCAAGTTCCATGAGTTCGGAGAATTTGTCTGGAGGATCTTTCCCCCCAATTGAACTTGACATGGCAAAATGAAATAGAAATTAGATAAGAATATAAATTAAACTAGAGAAATTATTCTATATAATCCTTGTATGGAACAATGATTTTTAGATTGTTCTAGGTAAACAACACAATTATCCGTGAACGGAGATAAGAACAGAAACACGTCCGCACCTTATCGAATCCACAACACGACTGATAAACAAGGTTAATATACAAATGAAACAATTAACAATCGTTTAGAGTATAGGAAACGCAATGAAATTTCCTTTAAAATGATACCGAACAAGATGAAAACGCAACAAAATTTATTTTTCTCAATAACAACTGAAATAAAAAATAAACAAACAACAAATTGCAGATTTATCGACTGACCACTCTTTTAAGAGTTTCTGACAAGAGGAATAAACGAAAATTAAAGTTATCTGTCTAAATCGATTTGTATTTAAATTATAACGGAATGAATTTTTTGCTTTTAAAATTAAATGGATTGTGCTGTCGGGAAAGAAGGCGATAAGGATAGGATTACCGGAAGGTTGGTGGTCCCACGCCTTATCTCTTTTAGAGAAAAGAGGATCAATTAAAACAATATTGAATTTGTTCGTACGAATTGAATATTTTAATGGACTGATGCGACTAGGAGGACCAATGTTACGGCCAACGCCGTGTAAGAAAAAAAAAATTATAAAAAAATGAAACGTTAATAAAATAAATTTAAGCAAATTCTAAATTAAAATAATGAAGGGAGAAATTCATAGGGGACTTACCACCTTCCTTCAGATGCCGGCTGCAAGAAGCGTAGAGAGCTCGGGCCTGATTCCTCTGATTTCGTCGCAGAATATCCGATGAATTCAGGCGGAAGAGATCGATGCAGCAGCACAGAAGAGAATTTTTCGTGGTCGCGTGATTAAAGTCTTTTTTATTAATACGGGAGAAAAGTATGAGAAAAGAAAGACGTGAGGACCTTTCTATCATAGGAGTAGAACAGGACTGGGTTTGCAAGGAGCGTGGGAGTAAGATTAGGGATTACAATGATCCAAAACAATGTATATTTAAAAATGAGATGGCTGGCGCCAACATAATGTTTTGTCTAATTTTTAAATCCACAATTCACAGCAATATCCTTAAACTGAATAATGGACCAATTATCTACCTAAGGTGAACCCACAAAATAATTCCCTATGGAAAATAGTTAAGCGTTTTAAACCTAAGAATGAGTGCCCCGAAGCAACCATTACCCATAAAAAGAAATCGTGCATCACTGATGATGAAAATGATTATTCGGAGATCGTGAGATGCGGTCTGGTGTGACGTAGGTTTTAGAAAAACATTTTCTTTATCGGTTCAACGTTTCGATCTGTATTCAGATCATCTTCAGAGCTCTAACTGTGCCCTCTGAACACGACACACAAGAATGCAAGAATGGCAGAAAAATAACACTTTGAACCCTGAATATGATGTGAATATAGATCGAAACGTTGGCACGATAAAGAAAATGTTATTTCTAAAATCTACGTCTCACCAGACCGTATCTCACGATCTCCGAATAATCATCGACTAACGGTCACTAATCACCACTCATTCCTACACGAGAAGATGATGAAAATGTCAATGCAATGGTAAAATATTTTGATTCGGTCCAACCTTTTACAATTAACCAAGGCCCACGTTATCTGCAAAAGCTTGTTACGAAACAAATCAATAGATTTAAGAAAAATCGCGTAAATCCTTTCTTTTCACCTGAGTGTACTTTAGTCACTCCAAAGGAAATCCGGGAAGTCATTGACGAAGAAATAACAAGTCACCTGGACTAGACTAAATATCCGACCTCCTGCTGAAGAACCTTCCAAAAAAGCAATGGTCCAATTAACCCAGCTTCTCATTTCCTAGGCTACTCTCCGAATTTCTGGAAAATCTCGAAACTAATATTCTTCAAAAAAAAAAAAAAAAAAAAAAAACCGGGCAAGCCACATGAATATCTCTCGAGTTTCAGACCTATTAGTCTACTCAGGTCTTTGAGCAACATCTTTGAAAAAGTAATATCAAGACTGATTGAAACTCATTTAGCCACTCTAAATATTATAAAGGAAAAGCAATTCGTCTTCCGTCCAGTAGGTCAACTTGCCAGGGTAGTAAACCACGTTACAGAAGGTTTTATTATAAAAAAAATACGCGGGACTTGTTCTCCTTGATATAGAGAAAGTCCTCGACACCGTATGGCATAGTTATTTACGGAAAGATAGAATAAAATTTTCTCATTTAATCAAGATTGTGCATTTTTATTTGCAATTGAGGTCGTTTCGTGACACCCTTCGTCCCTGTCTTCACATTTCACTACTAAAGCCGGCGTCCCTCAAGGATCAATTCTGGGCCCAACATTTTTTTGCGTATTTTTCTAAACGTCTTCCCAAACCTGCTGCCAACTGCTCTATACTCAGATGTATTACGCTTTCCTATTCCTCCTGGAGGGTAAGTGCGATTTTCAAAATATTAATACGGAGCTCGAAAGATTAAGGCATTTTTGCACTAGATGGAAGCTACAAATAAATACGTAAAAACAAGTTGCATTCTGTTCACGTAGCTAAGCCGGTGTTGCTATATGCCTGCCCAGCATGGAATTTCACTAGCCACACAAATAATTAGAAGATACAAGTAATTCAAAATAAACTTTTACGGCTGGCCACTGCCTCTGCCAGAAATTTAAGGCTGACTGAGTAACATGAAAATCAAGGACTTTTTAGGCGTATTGGGACATTCGTCAGCCAAATGGAAACACAGGCGAATTAAGCATTATATAACTGAACTTTAATCTAGTCATAACAACATATTTGTTTATTTATTTATTTCATAACTGTAAATACCTATTTATTTCATTTTAATATTTATTTATATATTAGGTTAAATACTTCTGCTTTGTGGTTTTTGCACACATTTTTTCCACGATGCAAATTTTGTATGCTAAATAACTTTTCTGTGTATATTTAAATCGTATTGTAGTAGGAAGTTAGTACTATGTAACTTTCAAGAAAGAATTTACTTTTCTACTCAAATTTATTGCTTCATTAAAGAAAACTATTTAAAAATAAACTCACTGGACTAATCGGCTCCGGAACGCTTATAAGCTTACACATACTTATAGTTAACCGTTTACTATGTAGACCCAACTCACACATGCAACATGAAGGGCGATGGAGGTGCTACGTCACCATCAGCCCGTCCCCATCCACGCCAACATACATTGATTCCACTCATTCTGTTTGCTGGATGGAGTACTCGATATTCCTCCATCTACCTGTCCCCTATAATAAACTAATCTAAATTGGGGTCGATGGGGTATTTTATAAAATTTGCGCCATCGGTCCAAGTCTTACACACAACCTGAGAGTCGATGGAGAAGCTACTTCGCTATCAGCCCCTCCCTATCCACACCAATAAATACATTCTCTCATGCAAGGCTCACAAACAGAAAACACATAATTTAACTGCTATATACAATAAAAAATGTCCAATTCCCCTAAAAAGCGCAACAGGGGACCCTGAAACTCGCTACCGTGTTCGAGAACTCTTCTTAAATCCGGCGGCATGCCTTCACGCTCTCTGTATGGTGCCAAGGTATGACACGCTTCTATTATGTGGGACACATCGAGCAACCTTTCTCTTCACAAGAGGCATCTGCGCGGGCTTTGGCCCGTGTCAACAAGTTATTAAATTTATTAATCTTTATCCCTAGTTACTATGGAAAATAAACAATAAATACAAAAGGCCATTTTGGTCTTTGAGTGTTTATTTATAATTCATACTGAGATTAGATGAAAAAAATTATTTATTAATAATGTTTACCTGAAGCTTTCATAGATATGTCACGTCCGTGCAAAAGAAAAGGAAAAAAAATATTGCAATTACTTTCTCTCTCTCACTCTCTCTCTCTCTCTCTCTCTCTATATGTATATATATATATACAACAATTCAAAATAAATTATTAATTTTCCAAAAATTTGCTAATTTGCTAATTAAACAATAAAATAAAATAATATTCTTTCTTACAATATGAAAATTATTTTCTGTATATCTCTGTATATTAAGTGTACTTTTCCTACGCTCTAGTGTACTGAAATCATAAATAAACATTCATTCATTCTCACAAATAAAATACACAGGGTGTCCTTTTTAGATGGCCAGGCAGAATTTTTTCTTGAACATTATCGAAAAATCAAGAAATACATATTATGGAAATACGATTGATTCCAGTGTTTTCCTGCGCCCAGTTTCGAAAATTCCACCAATTGAAAATAACATTTGTGTAAGTGAATTCAACTTGAACATGCAACTTGAATTCATAAGTTCACAGGATCTATGAGAGAATATTTTCTTCTGTGTACAAACTGTACTGACCCAACATCTCTGAGAGAAACATTAACCTTCTATTATAAAGTCAGTGTCCCGACAGCCCCTGGACTAGATGAGAACGATATGATTTAAAACTGTATATTTTGAGGATATCTCTCTTTTTTGAAAAACCCAAAACCCTTTCCATCTTTTTAAGGAAACAACACAACAATTAACAATAATGAAATTTTGGAAATTTACTTTAATGTTTTTCATGTTGCCTAAATACAATGAGGCCAGTTGTGTAAACAATATCTAAACAATCAATGACAAAACAAACAAAAAAGTAAGAACCATATTATGCGTCTGCTAGCAGAGAGTACGCACTGTTTTTGTTAATAAATCGTTACTTAAAAAATAGTAGAAAAAAAATACTCTACATGTTTGGAAAATTAAGTTTGTTACGACGTTGTTAATTCGTCGTAAACAAGACAAACAATACGAAATTTTCAAAACATGTAAAGTATCTTATTTAAAAATACAATCTTTTATTAATTAAAAACGTGCGTACCACTACTTGCAAACCCATCCACAACATCTCAATTCATAAGATTTTTCCATAATGTGGTTCTTAAATTTTTGTTGAACCAACCGACTAGCATCAAAACAGAAAACGAAAAAACGTAAAAATAAAAATGAAATTAAGATATTTTTTCTCATTCTGTGACAAAATTTTGTTATTCCTTGATCCATTTAAATCTGATTAGGCCATCGTTTTAGTATAAAAAATCCTCTAAAACAATGCGTAAAAAATATATATATGTTCTCATTTAGGAATTCCTACATACTCCTGTTCCTGTCCAAAAGGTTGAGGTTTGCTAGTTCATCACTCTGTTGCCTTCAGTACCCTCTTACCCTACACTCCACTGTAAGCCTTATTTCGTTTATGTAAGGGATATTTTAATCATTCCTAGAATTTGAGTTGAAGGTGGAGGAGTCTAAAGCCTTCGGTGCTGCTTGACTGTCTGACATTACGTACATCTTTTAGTTCTTTTATAAGTATCTCGTATACATGGGGTTCTATTGCATAGAAGCTTGGAACCTTGATGATATCGGACAGAGGTATCGTAAGGTTAAACTTTACGACATTAACTTCTCCCCCTATTCAATTCTTCATTGGAGCGGAGTTCCTGCGATTTATAATCACTCAGGTTACCTCATACTTGGTGCATTTGTTCTATATCTAGTTGTATTTCGAAAGCAAAAGGTCTGAATTTTGGCCTTCTATTTGTTGTTTGTCCACCTGCTACCGTCTATACAATCCTATACTATGACCTGATAACTTCTGTACTATGATCTATAGTGTTCGTGACCTTCTACACTCTCATGTCCTAGACGATTTCGATGTCTCATGACGTTGTAGATACTTCTAATGCAGAAAACAGAAACTTCATATGGAAACAAAAACCATGACAAGTCATATTATACTAGTTTGTTGTCAGTTTCTTTGTCAGTTCATAATCAGTACAAAGAGGAGGTTACAGTCCTTGGCAATGGCCTGAAGAAAACTTAAATATGTCAATGTGTTCAAAAATTTAAGATAGTTTCGCCGTGATGTGTGACCTTAAAATAGATCGAAAGCTCGGCGTAACAACTGAATTTACTTTCCTCTTCAAGACCATACATTGATCCAGTGTACCATACCTTCTATACTCCCATGTCCTAGCCTGATTTCGTTTGTCTCACGAGTTCAGATATCGTAAGCAGTCCCAGACCGAGAGAGGAAGGTGGAGGAGTCGAAAGAATTCAGCACGGCTGTCATACAAGCTATTTTTCCAGCTGTAACTTTATGAGATTTTTCTGTGTGCCTTGTGGTTCTTGTACCATGAGTGAGAGGGCCTATTTTTCACTAATTAGTCAGCCTCTTTAGTTTTCATATTCAACAACATGTGCGATTGCAGGTTACGGTTTCTTCGATCGGCTATCTCATAATTGTAACATTACCACTGGAAGATCGGCCCTTTTATATGTTCTTGGGACTTATACGGTGATAAATTCTTACTTATAATTTGCAACTGTCAAAAATAAGGAAATTACCTCTATCTTCCATGTTTAAGGTATCTTATCAATTTTCCATCACCTATTGAAAAGGTACAGGGGCTTCAATACTCTTACAATCCTTTAGCAATTCAATTCAAAAATTTTCAGATCTGACTGGTTTAGAGCCACTTAAAAATAAATATTTATAAAGTGGTTGTTTGCAATTAGTCACACACACACAGACACACACACACACTCTCTCTCTCTCTCTCTCTCTCTCTCTCTCTCTCACCGCCGGTGCAAAGAGCAGCAGACTTGCAACTTGAAAACTGGATTCTTCCGGCCAGTTACCCGGTGTTCAACATGGAATTGGACAAGTTGTTTGTCCTGGAAAGGTTTTAGTTGAGATAAAAAAGTCAATGGCACGAGTGGGATTCGAACCCACGATCTTCGGCTTGATACGCCGCTGCTCTACCACTTGAGCTATCGTGACCTCGATCCACTCGGACACCAACTTCCATCTCAACCACACCTTTTGAATTTTCCCTCCTTTTTGCCATTTTTCAAATGTCGTGTAATCGGGTTGGATTCTAGTTAGTATATATATGTATATATATAATCTAATGGGAAAATATTATAATAAAATGGGATTGTGAAAGAGGCAATTATATAATTGTTACTATTTAGTGGACCGTCCTTTATGTCACCTTTTACAACAATGGTATATATATTTTTTTATTACGAAAATATATGTGAGGGAAATGTTGAAAAGCAAACAAAAAATGCTACTAAAATTTTCATTAAGTAAAAAAAAATCCATTTTAAAATAACAACTTAAATGGTTCGTTAGAATAAAATAAAAACTGCATTTAATTCTTCAATGTATATATCAGTCAGTGTTTTTGTATATATTGAATAAATACAAAGAAATAATTTTACGCACTGATTTTATTATCGTTCGCTTTTTGTTGGAAAGTATCTTGTATCTGTCCAAGGCTTTTCCCCGCTGTTTCCGTGATGACAATAGCGAAAGTCACCGTACCGATGATATTTACGACACAGTATACGACATAGTTCATGTAAGTGCCGAAGTAGTCGCAGATCGTCTGGTATTGGATGATGCAGACAAAAGTTCCGATGGCGCCGACCATCTCCGTGATGCCGCCTGCGATGGCCCTCGTGTGAGAAGGGAAGTACTCGGCCTGAATGGTCTGCATAATCGGCCCAAGCCCGATATTCGTTATGACCGAGAACGTGATCATCGAGACGTAACTGGTCCATTTATACGACGAGACATCTAATTCAGTGTGGCTATCTAAGTAGTAGATCAAAGCGATAACTGCGCTGAACAAGGCCGCACCCGCAGACGAAAAGATGAGCAAAGGTTTTCGTCCGACTTTGTCTGTCAGAAACGCCGCGGAAAATGTCGTGAGGAAAAGAATAACACCGAAGACGATCGTCATCTCGTCGCTTCCCAATAAATCGCTCAACTCTTCTTGGAAAGTCTGCGAAGCGTATATAACTATAGCTGCCATACCTCCGAGGTATTTAATCAAGCAGCAGAACTGCACGATTAAAAACGATTTTCTGTCTTTTTTCGTCGCGAACAAATCTCTCCAACTCCCTTTCAATTTCATGTCTTGTTCCACGGATTCTTTGATCCCTTGAAACTCGACTTTGATATCGCAGCCTCCTCTGAGCCAGCTGAGCGATTCAATAGCTTTTTCTTCGTTGTTGGCCATTAAAAGATAATAAGGCGATTCGGGAATGTATAAAAAGAGAATTGAGGATATCACAGGCACGACAGCACATACGTAAACATAGTTGTTGTACGACAGATAAGGACCTGAGATGTACGCGTACAAACAACCGAGGTACCACATAGACTGGAACTGTCCTGCGAGCACCCCTCTTATTTTAGGTTCGGCCACTTCTGCGATATACATCGGCACTACGGTGAACGAGATGGCAACAGCTATCCCGTGGATGATCCGAACAAGGAAAATTATGGGAATAGATCTTGTGGTCGCTGTCAGAATCCAACCGATCAGAATGAGCGGGGCTGAAATTTGCATCACGGTTTTCCTTCCATATCTGAAAAAACACATCAAAACAAGATGTTTACATAAAGCAACTTAACCAATGTTTTTGATTGTCCAAAGGGGCAAACCTTTCAAAATTCATTTCATTAGTATTACAAAGGATATTTTGTGAAAAAGGTCGGAAGCTGTGTCTGAGACATTGCACATTGTCCTTCATAGGACGTACTGATTCCAATTAAACGTTTAGTTAAATTTAGTTATTATCTACCAGCACAATCTGTTAACTAGGAAATTATAAGTTTGATGGATACGTGCAAAGCAGTCTTCACTCTCCTGTAATTTAACCACTAGACCTCAGGATTTTGATCAATCTTCTCCCTTAATAGTAAATAATGTGATGCATACAAGCATGTGTACGATAGAAAAGCATGTAACTTCATAAACTTAAGGAGTCGCTGGAAGTAAACGGCTTTCCAAATATTATATGATGTGCTGTTCTGTTAGATCGTAAATAACCCAGATTATTTCTTTATGGAGAGAAGAGTTTCCAGACCTATCTGCCAGCAGACCGACTGGAATGGTGGTGAACAGCTCGCCGAACTCGATGAACGATGAAATCCAAGAGGTTTCGGTGCTGGTCATCGGCAGGGGGCTCTCAGGTGAAGTCAGACGCACCAGGAGAGGCGCTGGCCAGACGTAAGAAGTCCCTGTCATGGCAACTGATATTGTACCTGGAAAAATTACAGTACAAAAAAATAAGATTATTGCCAATTTTTTTAATTGTAATAAAATGAAAATCAATTGCCTTTCGATGTCCAAAGAAACAAGCACGTTAAGGATATTTTACTGTTCTTTGATATTTAGATTGTTTTGGCTATTGACTTCAATGCGTTCGCAGATGTTGTTTGAGGAGTGAGGCCGAATTGGGAGCTGATGCTTTTATAATCACTAAATTTACTATTACATTGGCAGTTGCAATAACGCAAATATGGGCCTAACGTTAAACGAAGAACACGCGTATTGGAAGTTTTTGATTTTCCTATAATGGGGCTACGCATTCATTCTATCAACAACCAGAAATTGCCAAAGAAATAGAAACCAATTTAAATGCTAGAAAAATTCGGACAGTAATTAAAAATTAGAGGCTACATGTCATTCATCCTAGCAACAAAGGAAGAGGCGACAGTGGTCATAATTAAAGATATCATCGACCAGTATGAAGTACGTACAAAACGACGAATCATGATTTCTATGAAATCATTCATGCAAAACGTAAAAATTGGCGCAACTTATTGTCCACTTAAACGAAACGTTCAATCGACTATTATAGAAACTTCCTGAAAAATCATGAGAGAGATACATTGTAGGAGGGGACTTTAACAATATCCAGGTTGACTGGGAGTCCAGATAAACAACTAGAAAATAAAAATAACTAAGAAAGTGACAAGATTCAACAGGTAAGCTAACTTATTGGCCAAAAGATAAAAAAAAAATACCTGATCAGCTAGATTTTTTGTATCAGGAAAAGTCTCACCTAATTTCATTAATGTTGAGAAAAGTTTTGATCCAAGTTCTGACCACTCTTGAATCATACAAAAACTAAATGAAGGACAAAAGATGTTCGTAAAACATACTACTGACTGTAATAGTATTATATTTCATATTGAAATCAGGCTAAACATTAATATAAAACAAAGGATCAGCTTAATCGGGAAGAAAAAAATTTTAATATCGTAGAATATGCAGCGTGGAATAATACTAGAGAAGTAAAAGAATATTTATAAAACATCCAAAAAAGATTATATACTTGAATCATGAAATACTAAAGGCAACAACCAAGAAACCCTGTTGATAAGTCAGTTTTTAATTAAAAAAATACAAACAATAAATAAAAATACAAACTCTAAAAATAGAGGTGAAAAAAAGGAGAAACGCTTAGAAATTAAGGGTATTCACGATGTTTGAAAGATGTTAACTCGTGTTAACTGTAATAGAGAAATGTCTAGTAATATCGTGAATAGTAATATTGTTTTGTTACCATGTTAAACATTAATTTTTCGACAATACTGCGCGTGGCGATTGGTAGAACCAAAAATAAAGCTATAATCCTTGCTATCCTTGAAGGCTTGTTGTTGTTTATTTTGGTTTTCTTTTGTGTTAAATCGTAAGATGCCAGAAGTTAATAAAAATGAAAATTAATTAACTCTTTCATTCAAAATGCTATCTGTGCACTCGAAAAGTACTAACAAATGACATGTCGACATACCTAACTTGTATCTAACATCCTACTACTTTATAGAATAGGGGTTGTATCTGTTATGAATGAGAATATAAGGACAGGTCAGAAATTAACAAAAGAAATGTATAGGTCTGATTTAATTAACGGTCTAATTTTAGAATAAAAATACGTGTAAATAAAAAACAGTTGTTAAATTCATGGGTGACATGTTGGTTACCTACACCCTAACGGATAGCAATGTGACTACATTTTCGACCTAACACCAAACATTGGCCTTGGCCTGTTAGATCGAGCAATGTTTACTAGCCGATTCTTACAAGTCTAGATCATGGTTTTTCTCAATTAACAGGACCTGACAAAGTTAACATATTTAACACAATGATCGTGAATACTCCTATTATATGGAAAAGTTAACAGGACACGCTAAACCCTACTATTCGTTATGAAACCCTACACGAAAATTAAAGAACCTATCATCCCAATTCCACGTCTTAGAAAAAAAAAGACGGCTCATGGACAGGAGATAATAAAGACAATGCTAAAACATTTGCAATTCATTTGGTAGATATGTTTGAACAAAATGACATTGCTAAAATCAACTCTTAGATAATCCAAGGCGAAAAAATAACAACAGAATATGTTATTAAATATTTGACACCCACAGAAATAGCTAAATAAATAAAAATCATTTTAAATTCTAGGATAGCTCCACAATTCGATATGATAACAGGAATAATTTTGAAAAGCTTTCTAAAAATTGAATTTTAAAATTGACGAATTCATTTAATAAAGCAATCAAATTTAGGCATTTCCGAAATGTCTGGAAAGTTGCTAAGATCACCCTGTTACTCATCATCGTACCGCCCCATCTCATTCCTTCCAGTTTTCTCAAAATTATTGAAAAACGTTTTGTCAAAAATATTGAAACCCATTATTGAAAAAACAAACGTTATACCAAGCCACCAGCTTGGATCCGGAGCCAAGACTAGACGCATCGCAAGCTTTGGTTGATTTGTTTATATAAAAATTGTTAATAAGAAAGAAATACCAGTAACCTAAAATTTACTCGCGCAAACTGAGATATTGTTGTTGAACAATTATGACAGTTTTTATCGAATTCGTTTTATTTATCAAATGGTGGGCTTATTATCTCCGTAAACATTCTCGTATTTTGCCCTAAAACGGAAAAACATATTTTCTTGTGCTCAATGTGTATTTTGGGCATGTTTGGTTTAGTACTCTAAGATGAAAAGAAAAAAAAAAAAAAAAAAAAAAAAAAAAAAACGAGATATATTTGATATTCACGAGTTTTTAAATAGCATTAACAAGCAGTTGTATTTTTTAAAATAATTAATAATCTTTTTCTTTCCTTGGTTTGATTAAACTAGATTCTATTTGTCGTATTTTTATTTTAAATTATTCGCTTCAGCTGAATACAGAAACAATTAGTCAATCATGACGACCAAGTACAGAAAATAGTTGTTATGTGATTTTGAGGTCCTAATAAAGCAAAAAACTAATTTCAATTTTTTTTTAACTAAAAAAATTCCTTGAATAAAAATTTCGAATAGAAAAAATACAATAACTAATGAAGAATATTAAAAAATGAGCAAGAATACAGAATAAAATCTGTCGCTTCGACTGAATATTTACAATATGTATATAATTACAATTGGAAAGAATATAAATCTAGCAATTTTACAATATAGACAAAATTATATCTAAAAACTCTTCAGAGTAAACAAGGATATTTTATTTTAAAAAATCTTGAAAATTTAAAAATAAATCCTCCCCGGCGGGGAATCGAACCCCGGTCTCCCGCGTGACAGGCGGGGATACTGACCACTATACTACCGAGGACTTGTATTAAAACTAATTTAAAAGGGCCTAGGACATTTCTTTCAAGTCTGCCGACAAATTAATTTATAATTATTTAAATTAATAAATATTTGTTTAAATTAATGAGAGATAAATTGAACAATTTTCTATTGGGGGATTTGAAAACGGGGTGAAATTAAAGGGAGTTTTAATGAAACAATATACGTTTATAAACTGTAAGTATATATTTATTTAGAAATCGTGAGATGCGGTCTGGTGTGATGTAGGTTTCAGAAAAACATTTTATTTATCGTGCCAACGTTTCGATCTTCATTGAGATCATCTTCAGGGCCTGTGATTTACAAACATTGTTTACATATAACAATTACATTTTGGATGTGGAAAAGTGAATGTATACTATGCAAAATGTATTTTTATGTATTCAATCAAAGTATTTCTGCTCACTCAAAGTGTTTGTCTTCTGTGTAATTGTGCCATTCTTGCGTGTCGTGTCGAGAGTGCCAGTGAGATTTTGCGTTTATATACATTGGATTTTGAAGGGGTGGGGAAGGATGTCGGTATAGAAAAGACATTTTTGTATAAGGCGTCGGCTTCTTTGAGGTGCAAAGAGCCGACGAAGGGAAAAAATATTTTGGTAATGGTTCAGCCATGTGGTAAGTATATCTATTTTTTAATTACATTTTTTTAATGTTTCCCCTTTGTTTTGTTTTTTAAAATTTTACACTGCGTAAATTTTGACCAGTGTTTTTGCTAATGGTTCTTGGAACCGAGCAAAATATATTGAAAGTTTTACATTTTACATTGTGATGTATCAGTCGATTAGTTTTATTTACTAGGATATGAAAATGATATGCAGGATTTTATTTAGACCAGGTATATTAACATTTACAAAAATCAAAAGACACTTCTACTAAAGTAGGCAAATAAAAAAAACGTTGAATAAAATAAGATTCTTTTTAAGGACATTTTGAACCCATTAAATAATTTTTTTACACCAATCCAAAATTAAACGAAATTTAATTAGCGGGGGCAGTTTTTTTCTCCGATGCTTCGTGTTCATTATAAAAATACATAACTACTCGACATTAAATCCAAATTCAACTTGTTTACAACCATTTGAAAGTTGGATTTCCCTTTTTTTAGTTTTGATAAATTAGGTATATTTTTATACCAATTTAAATGGGCTAAAAAAGATTGAAATTCCTACAATATCCTTTTATGTTTTATTTTTACCTTTGGTTCTAATTTATTCATTGAATCCGAGTTTATGCCATTACGTTTAGTTTATACGGTTCGAAAACCCGAAAACGTTCCTAAAACAAAAAACACAAAATTTTTTATAAATCACAATTTTTATGATTAAAAAATCCTATGGTGCTTCGTGTCCTTTTAAAAATTCGTAACTCCTCGGCATTACATCAAAATTCCACTTGTTTACAACCATTTGAAAGCTGGATTTCTTGTTTTTTTGGACTGGATAATAAAGGTATAAATTTTATACCATTTTGAGCTGGCTAAATAGGTTAAATTTCCCACACGTTTTCTTTTTTCATCTTAGGTTCTAATTCAATCATTGAATCCGAGTTTAGGCCCTTACGTGTAGATTATATGGTTAACAAACCCGAAAACGTTCATAAAGATAGGTGGATTCTTTACAAAGTTTTTTACGAATCACAATTTTTAAGATTCAAAAAAATCTTAATGCTAAATAAGTCCTCCTGGTCTGACAGGTCTGTCAGATTTGTTTATAACTAACTATTTGCTCAATGTATATTATGTACAGATATCAATCAATAAAAAGTAAACATCTTTAAAAAAAACAACAACAAAAACAAGTATCGAAAAATAATTATCACTCTGTTTTAAATATTCACACCGAGTGAGCTTCTTTCTTTTTTTCATTTATCTCTTATTTCATACCAAACTAGGATATGGACTATATTAATTTCATATCACTCTTCTTCTTTGTTGAAAAATTTGCAAAATCATAAGGACGAGCGCTATGAATCGTTTTCAGGCCCATGAACTATGCATTTAAACAAGGTTGTTGCCAATCGGTATGAATCAATGATCAATTGTAAAGGAAGCGGGATTGATGGACAAGCTGAGGTAATTTATTGCACTATGTTTAAACACATTTTGATTACGAGTGTAGTTTTTTTATTGAATCGGACGCACCAACGACTACGAGATCGTCGGTTTAAGGTTTTATGTGAAAATCATTGAAAAGGAGTAAAAAATATTTTCTCCCAATACTTAAAAATGCATGAAAAGACATGCTTAAAAAATTGGCAGTGTCGATGGTTAGGATCGGCATAGGAGCTCTCATATATCACATGTATACATGTTGAACTGATTGCGTTTGAGGCAGAAATGACCTTGGTTGCCCCCCCCCCCCAGCATGACCTCCATGACATGAAGGATAAGGCCGAGGTCTAACCCCAATTACTAACACCCAAGGTGCTGATTCTCCATGCAAACCGGTCATTTATTTTAATTAATTATAAAAACTAGAATTGTGTGTGCTGATTTGATTTTCATTTCATTTTAAAATGAAATTAGTAAAAAGTAATCACAAATTATGTCAATTATGTTTCAATTATGTTTTTATATTCAGGTTTAACCGCATCTGATTTTATTAAAAAAAATATATATATATTGACCATCACTGGAAGTGTTTTCCGTTTTTGTCAGCAAGCAGCAAAATGAGGATCGTAGAAGTTGAAGTACATTATTTCTGACGCTAAAGAAAAGAAAGTAAACTTTCTTACAGTTGCAATATTGTTGAAATTGGATAAATTCCAAAGAATGTATGAATTTTTAAGGGAAAAAGAAAAATCTACCCAGGTGGATCCAGGCTAAAAATAACCGATTTTTGATTCCCTTAAAAATTCGTTTTTAAAGACATAGGCAAATATATTAAGCGCATCTGTTTATATTTATCAGAAAAATGTTTTGATAAGCTAGTACGAGTTTGCATAATTGTATATGTTATTAATGTTAAAATGAAATGCTGGACATCTTAGAGAAATAAATAGAACGTGCCACGAACAATCTCGTCATACTCATACTTCTTGGGGCCGCCGGAGCCACGATTGTGGCTGCTGATGGAAATATGCATCCAAATAAAAATTCCTTTTTACGGACAATGTTTTAAGCGCATCTGTTTATATTTATCAGAAAATTATTTTCATAAGTGAGTATGATTGTCTATAGTTTATGAGTTATGAATTTTAAAATGAAATTCTGAACATCTTAGAGAAAAGAAATGTTCCCTAGTAAGAACAGTAAAAATTTATATTTTTTCATTTGAGATAAAAATGAGTATTCAATGATTTTACAGGGTACATAAAACGAGTCCGCATTGGGTTTTTCAAAAGCAAATTTTATGGGCTTACTTTCTTCGTAAAGTTTTTTGGTTTATGAATGTTTTTTTTTTTCATCCCGAGTCCTTTTTACAAATGATAAATATCGAGTTGTTTGCTTAATGGGAAATCGCTCGCAAATAATAATAGGTAAACATCAATACTCAAAAATTATAGCCATTGAATTCATTTTATTGTTTTTTCTTTAAAATTGTCATTTAATTAAATTCTTTACGGTATACTTTTCTCGGTTGACCCGATTTCCAACTAATACATATAGTTTGTTTTTGATCGTCTACTTACATGTCAGACATGCCATCCACTGACGAATTTTCCTCCCCATCACCGCACAGTTGACAAATGAATCAGGGATGTATCAGGGAAAATTCTCGATAGGTCCCGCTGGGATTAAATTCGCAATTCGGCCCCAACCTACGTCTACCTCTTTACCGTATGACGCGTCTCGGCACACAATGAAATAACAAAGGAGGAAAACTACTTATGATAACAAAGTTTTGTTTATTCACATTCGTTCCATATTAACTAGTTTTCCTTTCATCGAGTCAGTTTAGTTCGAATGCCAAATTCTACGTCGTGCTATCAATTTTCTGAGACCACAAGTCAGCGTGGTAGTGTACTCTTAGTTTTGAACAATTACAAATTCACATCCTTCCATTACAACATTTGTTCCAACGTTCATAGATTTACAGGCTAGCATTTACTTCAAGAGAAACAGCATAACGATGGCCGTAAATGCCCGCAAGTTTATATTTGTGGCCAAAAAATGAAACCGTTATGTAAACAAAGAATGCGGCCGCCTTGAGTTTGTACAAAACATGTTTAACTACTACGAACGATACAGCAATAATAGCCATTGAAATCATTTTAAATTTTCTTCACAATTTTCCTATAGTTAAAATATTTCTTGTTTACTTCTCCGGTTGATCCGATTTCGTCTTAGTACAAATTGTCTTGATCGTCTGCTTACATGTCAGACATGCCAGCCACTGACGAATTTGCCACCCATCACTGCACAGTCGACAAATGAACTAGGGCTGTCTCAGGGGCCACTTATCTACAATTTATGTAATTAAATAATGAAAATGGACTTCCAGACTTTCTGACGACAATCAAAAAGGAGATCATAAATTTCTTTTATTTGTTAAATCGTAAAAGTTTACCATGGTGTGTTGTATCCCCCGTAAATTTTTCACCTGACTAGTATCGCATAATTCAGTATTAATCATGAAAAAGGGTTGGTTTTCATAAGGATACGCATACTGGGGAAAAATATAGATATAGACTAAAAGATGTACAGTGAAAAGAAAGATTCAAAAACAGAAATAATTATCTTTGAAATAGAGTTACTTATTTGTATATAGAGAAAAAGGGGTAAAAAAGATGCAGAAGGATATCGCAAATATTATACCCAAAAATGAAAACCCGGACGGTCATTTGTTGTTTATTTCAAACTATGTGAATGTTAATCGTTATATTAATTATAATATATTTTATTCTTTTTTTTATTTCAACAAGAGGGGTTTGAAGTTGTTCAATGCTCCTCAATCTACATTAGAGTAGACAAAGATCTATTCCGTAGGTCATCAGTTCGCTTAGAGCATGGATGTTCATTCCACCAAATATCACAACTGAGTGTATTTGAAAAGGCTGTGACTCATACATGAAAGTTTCCTATTGCGGTAATAGCAATAAAACGATCATCTCTGGTCGTCGTGCATTACTGTCGACTACGCCTTCTTTTCGTTGGAAACAGTGTCTCTACACCATTGTAGACCCTCGTGGATGGTAGAGCGCTGCACACTGCACACCCAGGATTTGTGCTATGCAACGGATGTTACGACTATCGTTGACCAGTCTGCCCGGGGTTTACTCTACTTAAAAATATCCTTTTAAGAAAGAAATATTTACTTTTTTACACAAATTTATTGTTTCATCAAAGAAAACCATTTAAAAATTAACTCACTGGACCAATCGGCTCCGGAAAGGATAATATTGAACTGTTTTTCTTTATTTTTAAACCAAAGAGTGCACAATTTATAATATTCTTTAAAGGTAAACAACAAGTTATTAAATTTAATATTGATCCCTATCTATAGATATTACGGAAAATAAAAAATAAATACAAGTGTCTTTTTTCTTTGAGTATGTATATCTATAATTTTTACTGAGATCAGATGAAAAAAGAAATTTATTAATAATGATTAACTGAAGCTTTGATACATTTGTCACATTCGTGGAAAAGAAAATTTTTTTAAAAAATTTAATTAAAATTATTCTCCCTCTCTCTCTCTCTANATATATATGGAATTATTTAAGACAGTAGAAACTTTTGTTAAAGAGGGTAGTTTAAATAAAGTACAAAGTTTTAATCTTGGAGACAACAAGTACTTGTTACTTGTGTAAAAACATAATTGGAATTTAATAAAAATGGTCTTTCTTGCTTGAGGTCAAATAATATATATAAATTCTAAACCTTTCCCTTCCGTAATTTCATTTTTGAGCAATTTGCCCACCCTTAAACAACGTTAGATTAGTTTTATAAATGTAACTTGATTCCCTGAAGACAGGAAGGTGTTAATCGGGGGAAGTTGGCTTAATTTGTATAAGTATATTGTAAATGCACTAAAGTACAGAGAAAATTTTAAGTTAAATTTATAATTATATTTATATCAAAAATATGCAAGATTCAACTGCCAGACTAGTTCTTTCCTTTATAAGAATTATTATGTAAATAATGTAAAAGAAAGTAATATTTTGTTTTTCAAAAATACTTATTATTATTATTACTACATAACTAAAATAAATCGGCATTTTTCATCTAATAGATTATTCAGAAATCGTGAGATGCGGTCTGGTGTGATGTAGGTTTCAGAAAAACATTTTCTTTATCGTGCCAACGTTTCGATCTTTATTGAGATCATCTTCAGAGCCTGGGATTTACAAACATTGTTTACATTTAACAAATACATATTTTAGGATGTGGAAAAAAAAATATTTTGCATTGTATAAATTCACTTTTCCACAATAAAGAAAATGAAAATGAAATTATAAATTCACTTTTGGCACGATAAAGAAAATGTTTTTCTAAAACCTACATCACACCAGATCGCATCTCACGATTTCTGAATAATTATCGATTAACGATCACTAATCACCACACCTTAATAGATTATCTTATTTAAGGAAGTTATATAATTCGTAGTACTTAATGAACTTGAATTTTGAATGAATTTAATGAATTTAACATACTGTTTTACCACCATGGTATATAGTTTTTTGTTATTATGTTAAAAAAATGTTGAAAAAAAATTATACTAAAATTTTCATTACGTAAAAAAATCATCCGTTTTAAAATTATAACTTAAATGATGCGTTAGAACAAAATAAAAACTACATGTAATAGTTCAATGTATAAATCAGTCAATATTTTTATATTCATTAAATAAATACAATGAAACAATTTTACGCACTGATTTTATTATCGTTCGTTTTATGTTGGAAAGTATCTTGTATCTGTCCAAGGCTTTTCCCCGCTGTTTCCGTGATGACAATAGCGAAAGTCACCGTACCGATGATATTTACGACACAGTATACGACATAGTTCATGTAAGTGCCGAAGTAGTCGCAGATCGTCTGGTATTGGATGATGGAGACGAAAGTTCCGATGGCGCCGACCATCTCCGTGATGCCGCCTGCGATGGCCCTCGTGTGAGAAGGGAAGTACTCGGCCTGGATGGTCTGCATGAGCGGCCCAAGCCCGATATTCGTTATGACCGAGAAACTGATCATCGAGACGTAACTGATCCACTTGTACGACGAGACGTCCAGTTCAGTTGAGCTATCTAAGTAGTAGATCACGGCGATAAATGAACTGAACAAGGCCGCACCCACAGACGAAAAGATGAGTAAAGGTTTTCGTCCGACTTTGTCTGTCAGAAACGCCGCGGAAAATGTCGTGAGGAAAAGAATAGCACCGAAGACGATCGTCATCTCGTCGCTTCCCAAAAAATCGCTCAACTCTTCCTTGAACGTCTGCGAAGCGTATATCACTATAGCTGCCATACCTCCGAGGTATTTAATCAAACAGCACGTCTGGACGATAAGAAACGATTTCCTGTCTTTTTTAGTAGCGAACAAATCTCTCCAACTTGCTTTCAATTTCATGTCTTGTTCCACGGATTCCTTTATTCCTTGAAACTCGACTTTGATGTCGCCGCCTCCTCTCAGCCAACTGAGAGATTCACTAGCTTTTTCCTCGTCGTTGGCCATTAACAGATAATAAGGAGATTCGGGAATGTATAAAAAGAGGATTGAGGATATCACAGGCACGACCGAGCATACGTAAACGTAGTTGTTATACGAGAGGTAAGGACCTGAGATGTACGCGTACAAACAACCGAGGTACCACATAGACTGAAACTGTCCTGCGAGCACCCCTCTTATTTTAGGTTCGGCCATTTCTGCGATGTACATCGGCACCACGGTGAACGAGATCGCAACAGCTGTCCCGTGGATGATCCGAACAAGGAAAATAATGGGAATGGATCTTGTGGTCGCTGTCAGAATCCAACCGATCAGGATGAGCGGGGCTGAAATTTGCATAACTGTTTTCCTTCCATATCTGAAAAATATAAACATAAAAACAACAAGTGTAAATAAAACAGTTTAATACAAGTGTTTATTATCTAAAAGATAAAACTTTAAAAAATTCATTTTGTACACGTACACCTTTTTAACGATTTTTATCGTCAATAATGTTGGCAGCAGTACCCGAAACATGCGCAACGCCACTCCATGGTATGTACTTCAACCTATTCCAATTGAACGTTTAACATATAGTTATTATCTGCCAGCACTATCTGCCGATAATTGTAATTTGGACAGATACGTGCACAGAAGAGTAAAGAACACCCTTCTTTAATTTAGCCAGGACGTAATTTTGCTTAATATTTTCCCCTAATAGCGAAATCATCAAAAGCGTGTAACTTCCCTAACTTACGTTAAGACAGCAAGACAAGCTAAGTCGCTAGACAGAATGTTTTGATGGATCGTATACAACCCAGAGAATAAATTAATTTGTAAGTAAGAAAAGCGTTCCCAGACCTATCTGCCAGCAGACCGATTGGAATGGTGGTGAACACCCCGCTGAACTCGATGAACGATGAAATCCAAGATGTTTCGGTGCTGGTCATCGGCAGAGGGCTCTCAGGTGAAGTCAGCCGCACCAAGAGGGGCGCTGGCCAGACGTAAGAAGTCCCTGTCATGGCAACTGATAGTGTGCCTGGAAACAGCACAAAAAAATAAATTATTGACATTGTTTGTAATCGTAAAAGCAAACTGAAAATCAATTGCACACGGACGTCCAAAAGTTAAGTCCAAACGTTAAGCATAGTTTACTGTTCTTTGATATATAGACTGTTTTGGCTAGTGTATTCACAGATGTTGTTTGAAGATTGAAGCGAGTTC